CGAAGCTACTCCACAACACTAATAAACAAAAGTTTTGAATTCACAAAAAAATTCCTTTAGACCAACGAAATCCAAAGAAACGTAACATCGAACAAACTCTAGCATATGTCTCAACATAAAAAAACAATCCAGAACTATTTACAAAATTACAAAAAAACTAGACGTACTAAAAAATCAAGACCTACTTAGCAAGAATGACAAACTGAAAAATATACTAAAAACAACCAAAATAGTTAAAAGCAAATGCCAATCTAAAAACCTGAAACACATTAACCTCATCCAAATTTAACCGACACACAAAACAGTGAGTCACAAAATGCAACAAAAAAAGATGTGGGGTTTGTGATATCATTATAGAAGGAAATTCCTACACTTTTGAAAATCCCAAAACAACATTCATAATAAATAAAAATTTAAACTGCAAACTCCAAAAATGTGATTTATGTTCTCAAATGCACAAAATGCAGTAGTCATATATAAGCATTAAACAACAGAGTTTCCCTTCACGAAAGCAACATCAAATTATCAGTCAACAGAAAACTCTTTGTATCATAACACATCTATAAATGTAAGCAGGGTGAATTTAAAATTATGCCAATATATCAAATAGACAATTATTCTTACTTACAAATACAAGAAAAAAACTTCATAAACAAATTTAAACCAGCACTTAATAGATCATAACCCCACACACAAAATGCACACATAATACAGTGGTCAAACCACTCACATGCATACACACTGTTATACTGAAACACACCTATTCTATAGTTAATAGACTCTCCCACCTATAATAAGTAGCAGTCGCTAAGTGAGTAGCTGAGTGAGTTGGTCAGTCAGTCGATGTCGGACACTAAGAGTATCAGCAACCATCACTAGATTTCTCTGCGTCATTACCTAATTATATCAAGTTCCTAACGTTTTGTACATTGAACCTTTTTAGGACCAACTTAGTGAAATACAAGCCTCCACTGTGAAACTACTCTACAACACACACACACACACACTTACACATGGGTATCTGTGGAACACAAATATATATACATATTAGCAAAAACAAATAGAGTGCTCACAAGGACCCACACGAACCTTACATAACATAGGAAGTTTGTGTATGTGTATATATGTGTATACTAATTCTTTATAATAAGACAGTATGTATGGAGAGGGAATATACATACGACGCATACTAACAAAAACTTACACAATAGAAAAAAAAATGGAAATAGATCTAAGAACACACAGGGGTCATTCAAAGATAAAATACAGATATCTTCCCTCACCCTTTCTCGGACCAATTGTTTTATTACCTTTCAAGCTGAAGAACTTTCTCACTGCCACTCCAAGAAAGACATTTGTATCACTACCACACAAAAAAGAGAATTTCTAACATTGAAAAACACGAGGAAAATGAATTCATTTTAATAATATGTGGAAATATCCACTCTTTGACTGAAGAAGTTCACGAGACCTGAAACCAGTGTTGCAAAATTATGGCAACAAATAAAGCATAGTATATATTTAAAAAAAAAAAAATCCACATTACAAGCAAAAACGTTTGTGGTTTCTCTCTTCTTTTTAATATATATATATATATATATATATATAAAACAAATAAAGTGAACATGAGAGAATTTTTGATGGAGATTTTTTACTGGTTATCAATAGAATTAATAATAGAACGAGGATGGGAGAAGAAGTGTTGGGGCAGGAGATTAAAAAGAAAATAACAAATATGATCCAGATGTGTGAATATAATTTTATAATAAAAAAACAAACAAATAAAAAACAGGGTGAATTGGATTGTTTTTATTTTTAAAACAGACTGAAAATAGAATGCATGCATTTTTCTCAACAAACAGAATGCCTAGTACAAGAAAGTTGCACATCATGAATTTACAATGTTGAGCATCTTGCAACTAAATGTGAACAAGTTCTAAACATCACAGTTTGTTTTCACGCAGTAAAATTAAGTAAATTATGCATAATTAAAGCTGAAATTGGCTCAACTATAAAATATGCAAATGAAATAAAACAAATTTGATATCATTAAAAAAAAAAAAGAAGCACAAAATGTTAAACACTTTCTCCCAAAAGATTTCCTCATTTTCTTTTTTTCTAAAAACTGAGATTGAGATTTGAAAAATAAATATAAACTTTCATTAGATTTGAAAAGAAAATCTTAGTGGATAGATACTTGGAGTAATTATTGGAAGGGTTGTCAAAAGAGAAATAGTCATTTCCAGAAGTCTGTCCACTTGTTGGTAGGTGTTTGTCATAAAGAGTCCTTTAAGTTGGTTGGTTGCATTTACAAACGCAAAAAAACACAGAGAAATAAGAGCAACAACACATAAAAATAAGAACACAATAAAAACCATGTTAACAATGAAATTTATTATCACCACTTTTTTTCCCGTAGAAACAAATTGAATGTAAATGCTGGGATGTGTGTCTATGCATGTATGTATATATGTGCCTGCTGAAAGTTAAGACAGACAATATACAAAAGACAGATGAAGGGAAGATTTCCTCTAAAAACAGAGTCACTGAGAACATCATAGCTGGAAATGAGTTGAAATCAAGTAGATTTTTTTCTTTCATTTCTTTTAAAAATGACCTTTTCAGATATTTCTGATATTGCAGACAACAGATAAACGGAATCACATTGGTATTAATATCAACTTAAAATGTTGCATGGGAGAGCTATTTACATTAGAGTTCAAATCTTGCATGAGATTTGTAAGTGGCAATAGATGTAGATAATACTATTTTGTCTATGATAACTGTACTTGTTAGATGTTTTATAAAATGAAGACATTTACTGATTGGACTACTTAAAGTGGTATGTAAATTCAAAATAAACATTTATAATTCTTTTGTACAAAATGCTATTGCCTTAAAAATGTTCTTTTTTACAAATTAACTGACCTACTAAAAGTATCAGGCTAAAGTATAATTTACACTGACATACAATGGTAATGGTAATACCACATATACCTTTGACAGCATGGAAATGCCCAGACCTATATCAGTTGTACTCTGACATTTGGTGAGTCAGTGGGAATGCTGACTAGGCTGCTGATGGCAAAGTATGATAGCGGGTGCCAGATAGATGGGACATTCATTTCTGAAATTGTGGGACATGGAACATGCCTAAATCTACAGTGTTACATGTGTGCCAGGAATACCTGATGAAAGGATTGCTCACAATGAACGGTGCAGTGGCTAACCAGGAGTCCTTAATAATCATGACCAGAGGTATCTTTCTAGAATTGTCAGCAGAATTAGACAACAGACACTGGCTGAAATCATATCCATATTCAGAGAAGGTACGAGACTCATATTCAGCAAGTTAATTCAGTGTTCTTTAGCTTCCATGGGATATGGGAGCAGAAGACTGGGCAGAGTGCTCTTGTTATCATAAAAGTGGACATAGCACCACACACAGGTTCATGATGCCACCATTGAAGACTGCCAATGCATAGCATCAGCTGATGAATCATGGTTCCAGGTGTGGCACTGGCAATTAAGCCATAAATTCCAGTTGTGCACAAAGCACTATGGAGGTACTCTGATGGTTCCAAAATGGCATGGGACGTGTTCCTATAACATGAGTTGGGTCTGCCTAAACACATGACTGACCAGTGACTGCTATGCTGCACTATCTTGTAACCATTCATAGACAACATGTATCCCAATGATAATGAGTTATTCCAGCATGTTAATGCACTGTGTCATTGAGTCCAGAATTGGTTTGAATTGGCATTCTAGAGACAAAAATGGTGTGGCCACCATGTTCCCCTGACACAAGCCCATTTGAGCATTTATGGGATATGGTGGAGAAATCTATTTGCAAACAAAATCCCACACCTACAAACATCAATGAGCTGTGGACATCTCTCTAAAGGTCTTCAAATCACTTGTGAAATTTACACCATATCAAGTTACTACACTTCACATGGCTAGAGAGGATTGTACTCAATACTACACACCTATCTCATGACCTTTGGCACATCAATGTAATTTGAAGTTAATATATTGTGAAAGATTTACTTCACTTTTGGCTGTTTTGCTTATTTTTGTATTGTAAAGATTATCAATTTTAACAGAATATTCAAGAATGAATGAATTTTGATAAAACTGAAAAGCTTTAAAGCAACAGAAATACCTGAGAATTTATATACATATCACTGGATTATCTAAATATGAACTGAAGATATATTTACTATTACTACCTAGTTATATAAGCTATATATGGCCTATATAAGTGAAAATAAATGAGATCTACCACTTGAGTACCTCTGTATGTTTATATATTGTGTGTGCGTGCATATGCACACACAAACATTTATATATATAAAAATGTATACGTACATGTTTTGTTTATATGTCAATGATTTAGCATATCTATAAGCATCTACATTTATGATAGTATGTGCAAGGGCATCTATATCTTTATGAGTGAATAATTATTACTAACTACAAAAGTTACACTTAATGAAAAAGTTATTTTTTATTTGCTTTTAAATTCAAGAGAATCTTATACTTAGGCCTGAATTGAACAATGAAAAGTTTCTAATCCTCTGTATTAATGTCAAAATAATCAACAAATATTTTTTATCAAGGTTTTCCCAAAGTGAAAAATCATATCTGTTGAATACAAATGGTTTATGATTCCTGTACAGTAAATATAATCAAAGTTATAAGTTTTTTTCATGAAAAGTTAGGTCAGAACTCTTATCTTCACAAAATGCATCACTGCACAGTCAGTTTTTGTGTGTGGGTATGTCAGTATTGTTGGGGATGTATATCAGTATGAAGTCCTGATACTGGACCGGAGGGTTCTCTGCCCATCATCTGAGGACCATTCTGGAACATGTTGGAGCCTCTGTTGAAATGTGGTACATGGCTTATTTGATCTATATTCATTGCTGTGTTCATACTCATATTGGGGTGAATATTTCCAAGGCTGTTGTTGCTGCCTCCTCCCATGTGTGACATCATTTGAGAGCCAGCACGATCCACTGATTGGGGAAGGCCATATGCATTGTAGCTGCCTTGATTTCTATCCAATGAGGGATTTGTAGACAAATGTTGAGGATTTGTGCTTTTAGAAACAGCATTGATATTTTGAAGGAGACTAGGTCCACTTTGAATTAAGTTGTCAAGCGCCTTTTGAACTGTTGGATTATCAAAATTGATCAGTGCAGTCATATTTGAGGAGGTGTTGGCAGATATAGACTGAAGACTTTGGTCATTTTGGGTTATCATATCTCCACTTCTGATAGGCTGAACAGGTAAATTATGCATACTTTGCTGAAGCGAATTGTTCATGTTAGAATTCATTTTATCAGACATATTGGATGGCATGATCATACTTAGAATTTTGGATTGGAAGTCTGTTTTTGGTGGAACAGGCGACATGAGACGATTCTTTTCCATCCTCTGCAAATCATCTCCAGAAGAAAAATCACCAGCACCTAATGATTATAAAAAAGGAACAGTTCAGGGCTTACAACTAAAACTAGGTAAATAGATCCTATGCGTTCACAGGGATAGAGTAGAATTCAATTTCCTTAGCATCTTACCAAGAAGAATTGGTTTGCAATTCACTTTAACTGCAACAGATGTGGCTGCTTAAGAGAGGTGAGGAAATCTTAGTTGGGGAGTGGGGAGGGCAGAGCTTGGTGTATCAGATTGTAACAAGAAATCCAATTTTTAGTAGTTTCAGTTGATTTTCTGACCAGATTGAAAATAATAAACAAAAATGAGAAAAAAAATAAAATAAAATAAAAAAAAGGAGATAAATGTTGAAAAAAGCTGTGAGTACAAAGAAAAGTAATAAAAATTATATATACTTCCATTATTTTTTGCCTTTTATAGTTATGAAATATATTAAACATTAAAATGTGTTTATTAAATGTTACTGATGTCAATATGATATTCTTAATAACCAACACCTTCTTCTACTCATGTTGACATAAAGTCCAGCCAACAAAATTAGACAAAACTTTTAGATAATATATGCCCAGTGTCCAGAACACATTCTTGCACATGCTATAACAGCAACATTTTTCTGTTTCTAGACCACACAGATTGAAGGCACCAGTGTATTGATATTAAAAGATAGGATGTGTCCTGAAGATTGAGATGTTGGAATCCATTAAAATGATTTTCTTTAAGATATAGCAAACATGAGGAAAGGAAAAAGTGGAAAGGAATCAACAATATTCCTAGGGAATCTTCCACTTGTGCAAGAACACTAATAATATCATAGTTCAGCAAGGGAGGAAAACAATGAAGACATATTTAAGCACATTTACATCTAAGTAGAATAAGAGGTTTATTAATGCAACATGAGCTTCAATTGAAGCTTATTTAAACTTTAAAAATTGGTTTAAACACTATTTTGTTTTTAATAACTGTAAAATTCACAGTATGAGAAGGGAGTAGTGAAATGTTCTCAAACCAACCAAAAAGCTCTTCAAAATAATTCTGGTGTTTGGTCATTTGGTCAGATTTTGGAAAAGGGGTTGGTCTGAAAACTCTTCAGTACCTTCTCATATATTCACAGATAAATTTTCAGATAACTTACTGAGCTATGTACTGAACCGTTTAATTCAAGAAAAATTGAAGTACCAGTGCAGAGGACAGTTGACAATTCAAAATTTGAGTCAAATGTTTTGGAAGAGCACTGGTTCCATCAATAGGAGAGCATAAAGAATAAGCTCTAGACTTTTTTATTCTATCAAGAACAGCAACTGAAAGAATCTAAAAGAAATAATAAAATAAAAAAAACTGGTTTAAATGCTGCTACTATTATCACCTTACCTTTTGATGTTTTAGGCTGTGGTATTTCCAAGAGCTCACGTTTTCTCTCTTGTAAGTAATCAAGGACTTTATCCAATTCTTGTAGTGTCAGGTGACGACAATCAGCCAGCAAATTTAAAAGATAACTTATTTCTGCTGAAGGAGGTAGGAATGGTAAACCTTGCTGATGAGGTGAAGAAAGAACTGGATTGGAAGGAGGGTGGGATGATGGTGTAGTTGCAGTTTGGGGTGGGGCCATGGATTGGGAAGAAGATGAAGTAGAAGGGGCAGCAGTTGAAGCATGACCAGCATTCTTTTCTTTCAAAACTTGGAGATAACGCTCAAAGTTTCGTGCCACAAGACTCATGGCATCATCTGAAGGCATGTTTCTATGTTCTGCGGGAGAGGAAAAGAAAGTCTTTGACAACAAACACAAGAAAAATGCAAAACAGTAAATCCAAATTTCACGCTTTAGATAAATTTATTACTTGATGCAAGATGCATCTTGCAGTTTCCAATAAAATAATTGCAAGCATGTTCAATCAAGTTGGCCAGTGCAACTTGGATTTCCAATTTTGACAGTGATCATTTTTCAATCAAATCATATAGAACAGGGTAAAGTAGAGAGTAATCAGTGAAAAGATCCTTGGAGAAACCAGTTGATCAAATAGATGCAGTTTCTTTATTGAAATTAAAATACATCAATATATTCACTGTTGAAGTGATTCTATGCAAGAAAAGAAAAATAATTATCAGTTCTATTATTTCAGGCTTCTTACTTAAATACACAAAAATGAAGCACTTCATGTTAAAAGTGCTTAACTAAAGGTTATCGCAAAGATTCTAGAGAGAACATCAGAGACTCAGCAAAAAACAAAAGATCAGATCAGAACCATGGGAAAAAAAATTTGATACTGACAAACATAATTTGATACTGACAAACATAATTCATCAAAACAGTTCATACACAAATTCTATATACAAACTGTTCATGCACAAAGCAAAAATTTCAACCAGTTTTTTAATCCTATTAAAAAGATATTTCTTGATTCCACAGACATACAGTGAAAACATATAAAAAAAATCTTGCAATGGGATGATGTATAATCTGAGAGAAACAGGATATTGTATTTTTCCATTCATACAATAAAGCAAAATAAAATATATCTTAAAATTGTGATAGAAAATATTGTCTTGGGGATCTTGAGCCATTGTTTTCACTTTTAACTTCAAAATGTTCAAAAAAAAAACAAAAAAAAACAAATTCAAAGTTAATTTCTATTGTTTACTGATAAAAAGGTTTAGAAAGAAGCTATTTCACAGAAGAATCTTATGATAAAAAGTTGCATTATTTTTCAGTCGTTGAGAAACTTTGCATAAATGAAATAAAAATATAGAGGTTGACAAAAAGAGAAAGGAGATATTTTAGCTTCAGTAAAGATGAAGTAGAAAATAGCAAATGTTTTCCTATCAGTCTGCCCACTTGACTAGATGAAAAAAGCAGGAAAAAAAGTGTAAAACATAGTCATGTTCTTGGTAGAAGGGAAAAATTGAACTGAAATCACAAACTCAAATAACTTTCAACATATTTTATTTCATTTGTACAACTGAGAATAAAGAAAAAATAAGACAAAAGGCTAAAGTATTTTTCACAGAAAATACTTGCCTCATCTTGAAGACAATCAAAATTTTAAAATGAAACTTTTCTGTGAAAAAAAAAAACAGTTAACATTAAAACTTATTGAGAGAAAAATTCTTTGAAAAGAAAAAAGTGTAACTTACAAGATTTGATGAGGACATCTGAAAATAGTGATTAGTTGATACTAAATGATGAAAAGTCCTCTAATCTCAGAGAGTCAAAAAACATTGGGACAGATGAATATATGTTGCAAAAGTTTCTTGATACAAAATAATCAATTTGTCTACTTACCTGTTTAGTCAAAGCTGTATAGAAATGTTGGCATGGATATAAATGTATGTATGTGCTTTTATGAGAGGAGAGAGAGAAACTGTACCTAACAGCAAACTGTAATGCTTTAGCCTATTTTTCCTGAAAGCAAAGTCAGATTGTGATATATTTTTTACAAAGAGCTTAAACAATGGTAAAATTCTTTTTTTTTTAAAACCTAAAAATGCATTTTCTTTTTAGCAAAGGTAAAATCTATCAAATATGAACTCAATTGCCAAATTAAAAATACTTAAATCTTTTTTTCTTAAAACAATTAAAATTAGTGCTGTTTTATTATAAAGTCTATTCACCAAAGCAATATCTATTAGCCAAAAGAAAGACTATTTTTATAGGCCAGCCAGTATTTCTGCAAAGTATAATTTACATACTGATTTTAAACATTAGTATTTGAAATGTCTTACCCTGGGGAGTTCCTTGAAAGATATGCAATGTCAGTGAATGATGAGCCTCATTTTGACTGTTAACAATGATCACATACAGCACACCTTGACGAGCAATGTCTTCAATCACTTGATTCTGTAGTAAGGAATCGGGCATGTTACGAATCTCTGTAGCCATATTTAGGTTTTTTAACCGTCTCTCAATTCGTTCAGCATAGTTCCTGTAAGAACAGATTAAAAAAGTAATCTTAATATAAATTCTTAGCATACTATGCATATACTAGTTATCCATTTCGAACATTTGTTTTGTCTTACATTTTAGATAATTAAAATATTTCAGTGTCAAAAAATGAACAAATAATAAAAAAAACTGAAAGTATTTTTTTTATATTGTCCAAAGTAAATTGACAAATAAGTAATGTTCATATTATTTGGGGTTTCCTTACCTCAGCTGGCTGGTTGTTATAAGGATTGTAGCATCTAAAAATGGCCTTTTTACAACATCAGGATTAGAGTAACTACTCTCTTCATGACAAGATTGCTGATTGTTGTAATCATTTCTATCATAGGTAGAATTATATGAATTATGCCTGAAAAACAATTGAACACAAACATAAATTTATTATTTTTATTGTTTCAAAAAATATTTTCAACAAGAATACCATTTAAATGTAACCGAATAATCTGCATTTCTTTAAATCTATAAATATTATCTTTGTGATTTCTATATACTTCACATCTAACACGTGAAAACATTATAAATGTAACATTTATAAGATATTTATTGAATAAACCACTAGTGTCATTTTATGACACTAGTTGTTTATTCACATAAGGAGAATAAAAAAGCAAAGGAAGGAATTAAATTAAGTATATAAACAGACAATAAATTTGTCTCATATAAACAGAAAGAAACTGTTTCCAAAATATTTTAACTCATTTTATTTTCTTTAAATACTGCTAAAATATGTGAAAATGCTGTTTTGATGTATTCATCATCATTACATGTACATTATGCATTACAACTTGATTGCTTCTAATTAAATCTCTGTATCCTTTTTTGTCATTGCAAAATATTTCCTGTTACTTCTTTTTCATCTTTGAAATCAATGTAGAGTTTGTCTGACATCAAAATCCTTTTTAACATAGGTAACCAAGTTACTTTTGCTCAGCTTACAAGCTGTTTTTCTTGACAAATTCAAGTTTTTATAACAGGGGTGTTTGAATCCATCCAAAGAAGGTGGCCAAGACACTGAAATCATCATTGTATAATGATGTGGCTCCATGGTTTCTGTTCATTGATAGCATTTCATTACCGATTGTTTTGGGCCATCAGATATATAGTGCTTTTCATAGAAATTGACACGGAATACAACAAGTTTTTCTATCAAACATTGTCCACAACTCACTATTGTATAGGAATGTATTTGAAAATTTGTATTTTAGTTTTTTGGATTTTAAAGCTGGTTCTAGTTTGTTGAAAGCAGATGTTGCAAATCCTTCTATTTGCTATGTTGTTGCTGGTTTCTAGAAGACTGTCGAACATTTTGCATGATTTCCATTTATCAGCACCATCTAATTGCAATGTTTTCCTCATTCTTTGCTTTGTTGACTTCTAGACACGTTCTTTTATTATGAGTGGAATTATGTGTTTTAGTTTATTTTGGGTCATCATGTTATGATGAAATTGATATCATTTCATGGATTAAATTCTGTCAATTCTTTACAGTAACTGCTGCTATTCAGTGAATGTTTGGATCTCTGTTGTATTCACTATTTTTTATAAATATCTAAAAAAATTATTCAATCTAACTGAACCATCTATAATAGAGACATATTTTAACCATGTTAAAAGTTATTTACTGTTAGTTACAAAAAAGATTGTTACTAGTCAAAAAAGCTTTCAATCTAGTAATTCATATACTCAAGACCAAAACACATGAATGCATTAATACCAAATTACATAGGTATAAAAATTCAACACATTTTATTTTATTTTTAACAAGAAAGGTCTTGTATTTTCTTATACAGTATTTTTTTGGTGTATAATACACATCTTTATTTTGAAGAGATTTGTCAAGTATCCAATGAAAATTGAAATATCAATTAGGTGACTATCAGCATTATGCACTCTGGTGATATGCATTTCACATTTGAAATCCATAGTATTGTTATAAAGAACACAGTCAAAGGAACTAATCTATATATGTGTGTGTGTGTGTGTGTGTGTGTGTAAGTATATAGAAAAATAACCATTAGGTGCTCAATACAACAGTAGAGCCTATATTATAATTATTTAAAAAAAAAAAAAAATGATTCCATCGCTACATAAGAGTTCTCATGTTTCAAAAACAGAAGTTAAAAACTTCAATTTCATTTATGGAAATTAAATTAAAGCAGCTAGTTCTGATTCATCCTCGAGCGAATTTTGGAATAACTAATTTTGAAATTTATGGAGCTTTATAAGCATAAACATTTGTAATATTAATTTCTATGGATATGGAGAAAACTAATCATTTTAATAAGGGGCGTTTCACTGACAACTATTGTATCAACATATAAGTTACTTTAGAAAAGAGGTTAAGTCAAGGTAGGGTTGGGGTGCCTTTTTTTCAAAAATGATGACATCCGTTCAATGCATATCGCCTGGTCTATTTCAACAACAGAAATTTTTTGACATTTTTGTTCCACTGTTAAATGTGTATTTGTATACATAAAGATTTTTTCTAAAAGGGTTGTTTTTATATGAATACGTTGTATTGAACTACAATTTGTTTTTTGTTGATGACTTCTTAAAATTTTAAATGAACATTTCATTCATAAATTGGCTTGTTATAGTTAAGGAAAGTTTTACAAATAGATGCCAACTTGTTGAAGGCCAAGTAAAATGCAAATTTCAAACACTTTTCTGCATAAGACAATATTCCTAAAAATCAAAACAATCCTCGAATAAAAGAATATTAATGAAGGACAGCTAATTAGTTAAACCTGAAGAGTGATATTGCTTAGAAGTAGATACTATATAATACAGATATTGAGCTTTTAGTAGGCAAATTGATCTTTCAAGTAGTTTGTAACACATTATTTATCATTCTCAGTTGTGTCTCTGTCTTTGGGCAGAGTGTGTTCAGGGGTGACTCTGTCAAAGGACAGAGTTGAGTAAATACAAAATTACTATAAAGTAATTTATAACACATTTATTTATCATCTCTTGGTTGTGTCTGTCTTTGGGCAGGTAAATACTAAATTACTATAAAGTAGAGCTGGAGCTTTTTAATCTCAGAATTCACGGGAAAATTGAACTCTAATTTTACATTTATTCATATAGATTCCATAATATAGGTTTTACTTAATTAGCTATTATGTTTCTCTAACTCTTCAAATGTTAAATGTATAACTAATTCTAATTTTTATTTTCCCATCTTTACAATATATTAATTTTATCTTATAAATTGTTCCCTGTTCTGTCACCCATGAAATAAAAATAATTTTATGGAATATAAGGATCTACATACATCATTAAGTGGCAGCAGAAGAATTATCATTGAACTTTTAAAAGGTAAGCTTAAATATTAATTCAGTACTTAAATGCAGCAATCAATTTTGAGTCCTTCTGTAGTTTATTGATGCCTATCACATCTACTCCTCCCTAGCTATTGTGATGATAGCCAAACCAAGAGTCCTCTACAGGAGCTAGTTTAAATGCTGCCCGATAGGTCAGCTTTTAAGCTAGTTTATAATAAATCATACACTGCAATTTTGGGTACAAAAGGAAAATAAGAGTTACTCCCTTTGAACCATGAAAGCAACAATAATGGCTAGTATAATGTATTAATATATACTTTTTTAACCTCGCATAATCTGGCAACCCTGAATCTGAGTTCAACGAAAATTGTTCTCTGTGCCTAACTTTTCTAGGGCTTTTGAATAAGATATGAATCATTGAAACCGGACCAGTAGGAGTGGAGGAGTTGCTTGGACACACACACAAACACACACTGTACCTTATATATAAGATTAATAAATTTGGTGTATTGAACACAAGCAAATTTTGATATTAGATTTTAAGGTAAAAAGTGTGTCTTATACACCAAAAATACAGTATTATCTGGTATAGAAGTATCTCTATGCACCCCATAATTCCAATAATGTCATTCTTTTGCTGAAAACTATATTTATTATTGTTATGAATGAATGTGTAAAGCAAAGCAAGGTATTAATATTGAAATCTTTGCAGACTGTAGAAGAAAGAAAGAAAAACAAAAAGCAACTGACCTGTTGTCATCATCATCATCTCTAAAATGATCATAAGAATCTCTAGAAGGAAATAATTGCCTATCTTTTGGTAGTGGCTCATTTCTCTGATAATTATCTGCTGAGTGGCTCCTGCAACAAGGAGAAGGAGAAATACGAAATTAGAATATTGCTATTGAACTAAAGTGTCAACTATACTAATGCAATAGATAAATACAAATTATACTTAGAAGTAGAGATTAGAAGAAAGCAGACTAAGGAAATGGGTCAGTAAAATTAATGGCAATTCAAGAGAGAAAGGAGAAACTGACTTTAGTGACAGGTCATCTTCTGCTGCTGTGAATGATAGGATGATAAGGCCAAATAGACCGACACACTCATTATAGCTATAATGAATCTGCCATTCATATACACAAGCTTGTTAAGTAGGTTATTTGATGTTTTCCTCTGTCCCTCTTGCCTTCAGTATGTCTTGTGAGTGTCAAATTTTCCAACCCCTCTTTCTTCATTATATACCCTAGAAATGATGTTAAGTATAAGAGTACTTTTTGTTTCCTTTTTTTCTAAAACTTCATCGTTGCTCATATATTCAGTCCATACTATTCTCAGCATCCTTCTGTAGAACCAGATTTTTATTATAAGTTTCTTTTTCATCTATGTGGAGATGGTCCAACATTCACTGCCATATGAGGACTGATATTACATAAAAGCTCATTATTCTACTCTGTTTCTAATTAATTTTATCTGTTTCTTAATATTTTGCTTAGCTTTTGGAAGGCATATTTCACTATCCCAATGCACCTTCAGATTTTGGTGTCACACTTTCTGTCCTCTGTTAAGACACTTCTCAGATCTCCAATTTGTATTTTGCATGTTGGTCTGTTCCTTATGCTAAATAATTAGAATTTAGATGATAAGTTTTGTTATATGGCTCATTAATCTTTACAACTCTGCAGGCATACATGTCTATATTTCTCAATATTATCCAGACAGACATGTTTACTGAGCAACAGAGCTTTGTTTGAAAGAGAAAGTATGTTTCTAAAAATAACCTATTACTATGGAAATTATGTAATTAAGCTTGTGATATAAACTAGGAATGACTGGATGTCAGTCATTTTGTCCTAAATGAAATAGTTTTTTTATTAGAGAATTTTAATAAAGTGTTTTAAAAACGTTCATTTTTCAATGACAATGGTGACGTAGTTATTCATTTAATGGTAATGGAAATTAGCCAGTATGCAAATGATGTAAAAATATTAGGTGACACAGCAAAGCCCAACTTGCAAATCAGAGCTTGGAAAAATGTTTGCTTTGAAGAAATGAAAGCATTTTTGGCCTTGCTTTTGTTGATAGGTTTGATAAAGTGACCTTCGTATTCATCTTACTGGACAACAGACCCACTTTTATATATGTAAAGCTTTCACAATGTGATGAGTAGTAATCGTTTTTTTTATCAATTCTGTCACATTTTTTTTTTTTGGTTTTCATATTTTTTTTCCTTAAATTTTATTATATGTACAGTAAAAAAAAACATATCTACATTTTCTATATCCTTTCATGCAAATACCATGAAAATTTTATAACAATATCTCTAAAACTCTAAAAGATACAGTGCTAGTAATATATTCACCATTCAAAAACTTACTGCACTCAGAATTAATGTGGATCCAGGGGATACAACTCTGAAAGTTAGTGTGGAGTTGTAAAGGTTAAGCTGATTGTCTGATAGAGTTCTCATTTGTTTGCATCTGGCATCTTAGGCAGTGCTTTGAAAATAGATTTACTTAGGTTTTCTGGTATATCACCACAGTTCAGTTATACATTTCATTCATTATGTCTGTAAGGCTGCCAGCATCTCGATTACAATTTCATCTGGACCAACTGCTTTGTTGTTCCTGTTCAACTCAGTCAGTGTTGATTTCACTTCAGATTTGAATATTTCTGGTCCCTTCATATTTATGTGTATTTCTGGTTGTTCTCTTCAGTTGTGGAAGAGTTCTCTGATGTATTCATTCTATCTCTTGAGTATTTTTTCTTTCTCTAATATCAGTGTCTGATCCTCGGATTTTATGAATCCTATGGATAAGTATGTCTGTTAATTCTCTTATTTTTTATGCCTACCTGCTTTATAGTTTATTAATGATACTACCATTAGGTAATAGTATCAATATTATACTGATACTATTACCTAATGGTAGTATCATTAATAAACTATTTTTATAATATTTAACTGTCAAAAAGTAAAGACAAATATGAATTTCAGTTTGCTGTTATATTGTCAACTTTTGAAAAATTATCAAGTTATAGTCAACATAGTTCCATAAAAGTTAATTAGGAATTTACTCAGAAAAAAAATAACCTTTTTTCTGGGTCAGTTTCATTTCTTCCTGTTGTTGACCGAAATTTGTCATTGTACTTGTGGGGAGATCTGTCTCTGCTTGGAGGGTTAGATGCTTCCCAAGAATCTCTCTTTTTACTATAAAATAAAAAAATAAATAAGAAAATAAAATAAAGGAAATGCAGTAATGAAAAAGTTGACTCACAATGTTTAATTAATATTTTCATCATAGTATTTTCTTATTTCTTCATAATGGTCAGTTGCATTTTATATGAGGATGCTTCTTCCTATAAATTTATAGATAAAAACTCCTTCTTGCACAATACATTTGTTCATAGTCATAAAATTTTCTCATTGTCTTTTCTAACTTCAAATATTAATATTTTTATTTTTACTATAGCCTGTTAAGTGGTTTATGTATCAATGATGAAATTTGTTCAATTTCTTGCAATGCCCATTTAACTATACTGCAAAAGCTAAAATAAAATCTGAATAATTACTAATGGGCTGCTTTTTAAAACAATCATGAAGCATCTCTATCCAAGTGCTAGTTTTAACTTTAATTACCTTTTAAATTTACTTGAATTTCTTCCTCTGTTTTTATCAGTTGTCTTCCTGAGAGGAGCAGTGAACCTCTCTGAAGTGTCTTCCAAAGGAACAGTAAATCTATCTGTGGATTCTCTAAGAGGAGATGTGAATCTCTCTGTAGATTCCTTGCGGGGAGAAGTAAACCTGTCTGTAGACTCTCTGAGGGGAGAAGTGAACCTGTTTGTGGAAGCTAGGTCAGGATCCCCAGGCATTGTAGCCTTCCAAAAATCATCTGGATCACTGCGACTGTCAAAAATAAATATAAATGTTCACTTAGCATATCTTGAAAATTATGCAGTGAAAGGTTTGTCTTAATTTCAGTCTTATGTTAGTTGCTAACATATGAACATCAGGTCTAGGTTGTTTCATTGCAGTGTTTTTTAAAAATCTGTCAGTAAAGTAGCTTATGTTGTATTATAATTGTTGGTGAGAGACTACAGGGGAAGATTTTATCACCTGATGAGCAAAGTTTTGTGTCAAAATGAACACTTGATAATACTTTTCCAGCTTGGGTAAGAAAAGTATTACTTTATTCAGAGATCTTTGATAGTTTTGTTGTAATTGTAAATGTAGCAAAAATAAGCTAGTAGTGGTAATAAAATAAACGTTTGTGAAAAATTAGTGGAGTCTAAAATCTTTCAGCTTTCATAGGAGTTTTGAACAAAAATAATATCAACTTGATAGAATAAACACTAACAGCACTGTTCAGTTTTTAAAGGATTGAACTTGTGGTTTAAGGTGAAATTTATCTGACTCATCTTATAAGCAAGGCTTCTCTTCCTCCAATGGAACAAATGATTCTCTCTCAATACTAAGATCTATGCTGTTCACATTTCACAAATATTATCAGCAATCATTATTTGCAGTTAATTTTGTCAGATTTTAATATACAAATATTTATTTTTACTTCTTGTGGCTTTTTAGAGTAATTTAAGAAAAATCATAGAAAACATTATCACCACTTATTTCAAGCAAACAATGCAAAGTCACTTAAACTTCACTTTATAACCTTTATTAATAAAAAGTAACAAAACAAAAAGAAAATGTAGCCTCAGAAAAAAAAATTGTGGTCATCTGTATATGTAGAAATTCTGTAATAATCTCCAATCCATAGAAGCCTAACAGCTGCTAAATGATTATTTTAACATTTTATATGAAATATTTTGATGTAAGAAATATCCATGAATTTATGTTATTATTGACTAAGATTACATAAGGTGAAAATTAGTCTGAAGTAGACTTCTATAATACATCCACTTACAGATTAACAAGCAATTTTCAATACAAATGATTCAAACAAAGCTTGATATTAAAAAAAAATAATAAAATAAATACAAAAATACTGAAAATTATATACTAAGAAATCAAAGAGATCAGGCTGTCTGAAATCCCTAATAAACATTGCTAGCAAAATATTGATAAAAACTCAGCTTACCTCTTTTTGGAAACCATAATCACACGGCGGTTTTCTGCAGCCATATTTTCCCTAAAGAATTAAACAGAAAGAATCAAAGTAATTAGAAAAGTAAAGCAAAATAGAAGCAAAAATTAAATGTAAGCACATAATTAACAAATAGATTAACAAATAGATTAACAAATAGATTAGTAGTCTTCACTCCTAGTCAGTTAGTGTAATTAGCTGAACCTGGAACTGAAGAAGCTTTTTAAAGACATTACTTATTAAATAAAATAGATGCATATCAAATGCTTTAACATTGTTTACATGCTTGAAAACCCCATAAACTCGAAAAGTACACAACATAGGCTCATTATATATAGGTTCAAATTTATAATAATTAAAACCAAAGTGGAACTGTTCAGGTTCTGAGTATAACAGTCATTTGAAGAATTCTGCAATCATTTCTGACTACTTTCAATCTCAAGACAGACAATAGAAGTCTTTCTTTAGACTCAAACCAAATCAATATAACTTGTTGAAGTGCCTTCAATAATTTGTAACCATTATAGCTAATTATCTTTTGATGAGTTCTGAATCCATGTTAATAAATGTGTTATTTTTAAACTCACTCTACAAACCATCCTTATACTGGATTCACCAAGTAATTGTTGAGACGTTCATAATACTACTAGCAAAATACAAAGTAAATTAATCTGTACAGGATTTATTTATTTTTTATCCACTTGCAATATTACAAATATAAAGACTTGGTATTAGAAAATTAAATTCTAGTCAACTAATGTATAGGCAAAAAAAAAATGTCTACATATAAAAAAGATTTTATAATTTGCCATAATCAGTTTCTTGACTGCACTAAATGTTTATATCTTTCCCTGTCTCATGTGAAAATATTAGCAATTTAGTTATAGGAATGCTGAAGGGAAAAAATACAACTTACTATTTGTTATCAGAATTTCTCATGTCCTATTCACACTGGTATTTGACATCAGGTATAATGAGAAAAAAAATCAATTAAAATATCATGTTAGACAGAATTAGTTAATTAATTTTCAACAGTTTGCTTGTTAGAGATAATATACTGAAAATGTCTTATATAACAAACTACTTTTACAATAAATATTTTCAGTATTAGTTATAAGTTTTGATTTTAAAAGATACAAAAGACTTAAATTAATATCATCTGAAAAAATGTCTCCAGTTTTTAGGTTGTTATCACTATCCTTATTTTACTTCCATAACCTATGACATTTCCTCCAAATAGCATTGACACAAGAAAGACTTACAGATTGGCTAAGAAAATCATATAATCTAATTTCAGAGTTTATATCAGCTATATTTAATGTGATGTACTCGATTCATTTAATCAGTTCCATGAAAATCAATCCTTCAGAATATATTGATTGATGTGTTTTTTATGGCTTATCAACCTTTAGATTTTTAGATTGGAACTTGACTCTCTGATTTCCAATTCCAAGCCATTATCCATTACACCACCTGCACATCCAAGCTTACAACACCTAGTATTCCCAAGTAGTCACCTATCTAGACACCCTCTCCAGGCTTGACATAGCTTAACGTCGGTAATCGTATGAGAACTGGTGTTTCAATGTGATATGGGTGCAAGCCTCCCAAATCATATAGCAGAAAATATTATGGAATAACAATCTTGAAGTAAAAAAATTATGGAATGATCTTTTGCATTCCCAAAACTAATGCCAGTAGAAAGTTAGATATACAAATCAGTCTACAGACCTCAACAAGTAGTTGAATATACCTAACTGAAAGGAAACATTGCTAAAAAAAAAAAGCAAAAACTGTCAATTGAAACAATGGAAATGATAGTAAAATTAATTCAAGAAAGGAATCTATGGTAAAGGCAATATTAACCATTTTCTTACAGGGAAACATTTGGCATTCATTGTTCAAGCAGCCAGTTGAAATTTATAAAATAAAAGGAAAATATTTCTCAAATCCAGTTATTACACTTTATTCTTTCCAGTATTGATAAGGGCATCTTCCCCAACTTTTTGTTTGAAATAGTGTGGAACATCTTAATTATGCCATTATTTTCTCTTTGAGCTACATGTTATATCCATTTTAGTTGTGGCTGTTGGAAGTCCACAGATGATGTGGTTTCTATTATTTCATTCTTTCTTTGTGATTCTGTAGCACCAGTCTATGAATTTTGAAAAAGGATGGTCCTCATGTAGGCTTCATACACTCAAAGCCTTTTTTAAATATTGATCTGAGAAAGCTGCTGTATACAACTGACAGTTTAGATATTTCTGAACAAGTCTGGTGTCAGGTTAGGTATGATATCCATATGACAAGGCTATTTAATGAGTTATTAGGTTAATGTTCTAGGTTAATTGAAACCACAATTTACTCCTTGGTTCACACTGGCCTGTTCAGTTGCTAAAGCCCAAGGGAATGACTTTTTCCAGCTGTACCTGCTTGCTAGTTCCGATCACAACAAATGCCTATTTTTTGTCTGCTTGTAATAATTATAAATATGTCCTCAAAGAGAACAAGTCTTTGTTTGCTGATAGAATGAGGCACAGTACAGCCTCTAACAAATTTGGTTCTTGTGACTACTGTTGGCTCTGTAACAGTGTGTTTACTAAGAGTAAGTTTTCTATTCCTGCTCTCTTCATTCAATTTGAGGTGTTAACAAGTAGAATGTTTTGCTAGTAAATTCTCTTCAAATTCTATTCTTCACTCATCTAGAGTATCTTTGCATGACTTTCCACTTACAATTGAGTTTCTATTGAGTGATATACATATAACTCTGTCCATGATTTCTGCTATCATTTCTAAACTGGATCCACACAAAACATGTAGTCTTCATGATATACCTTCTCTTTTTGGCAAAGTACTAGAGGCTCTATTAAACACTGAATTGGTTAAGCATCTCATCTTGCAGGGTCTCCTTTCAGATAAGAAATATGGCAATATTTTGCTTCTATAGGTCAATGGCTGATGTATTAACAATTATTGCTGATAGAGTTTATCAAGCTTTAGATAAGAATTGTGAATATCAGACTGTTGCTTTGGATATTTCAAAGGTGTTTGGCATAATGGTTTTCTTCACAATGTTATGGCATTTCTGGACAAATTTTTGAACTGATTCAAATTGCAAGATGAAAGTTGTCTTGAATGGCCACTTTTTTTTTTTTTTAATTTTTTTTTAGACCTCTTTGCTTTAATACAGGTGTTCTCCAGAACTGTATACTTGCACCTATGTTGTTCCTAATTTTCATCAATGACTTTGCTGATGGCATCAGTTCTCAACTCAGTATCTATGCTGATAACACAACTATTCACTTCTGTCTTAATAGTAAGTTTGATCAGTTCAATAAAGTCAAATTGCTCGCTGATTTAAAAAAAATGATGTACAATCTGTTAACTGGGGTGAGGAACTGCTTGTTAATTTTAACACCCCCAAAACAAAATTGCTCTTTTAATTTTTTTGCTTTCCATCAGTATGGCTGATGCTAACTGACTCATTGCATTTTCTCAGACTAACTTTTCCTGTTGATATGAAGTGGAAAGATTATATTGAATCAATTGCTAGGTCTGCTTCTTGGAAAATTGGTTCATTGTTAATGCTAGACAATTTTTCTTCCACTGAATCTATCTTACATATGTATAAGTCTACCATTTGTCCTTGCTTTGAATATTGCTGCCACATCTGGTTTGGTGCTCCTGCTATGTAGAGATTCTTGATAAAATCCAAAGAATCTGCAATGTCATTGGTCCTAACAATAACTTTCCTACTGCTGTAATGTAGCTTCCCTGTACCTTTTCTATAAATACTTCATGATAATTCTTCTGGTGAACTTTCCTCTAGGGTACCTAGACTTTATGAATTTAAGCACAGTACTAAATTGGCAGTTACAGTTGAAATGGCTAGATGTAACTGTAAGTTCTATGCTAACAGTTTCTTCTATCACACTTTCCACATGTGGAACTCCCTTCTGGCTTCTTGCTTCCCAGTTAGTCAAAAATTTAAATGCAATGTCAATCATTATCTTCTGTATTCTTAATTCCTGTTTTTTTGTTCTCTCCTTGATATTGTTCTTATTTTTTTCTTGTATTCTCTAACACTCAATAACTTGCATCTTAGTGGTTTTATTGTCTTGCTTGAGGTGAAATTAAAAAAAATGTTTTGATTTTGTAGCAATTTGTGATGTTCGATGAAACTACCTCTAGTGCAGCCTATTCTGTTTGTGATAGAACTGTAATTAATTGGCTGAATGAAATGGGATTTACATACAGAAAGGCCAAAATAAATAAAAACCAGCACTAATACATGAACAGAATAAAATGAAGTTAAAGCAATATTCAGTGATAAGTGAAGAATGAGCATTGGCCAAGGTCTTGATGCTGATACTTTTATCTGGTGCCATTCAAAGGAAACATATAAAGATGACTGCCTGAAGAAAACAAGTAAATTTTCCAAGCCATTTATGATGTGAGGTTGTATGTCATTTAAATGGTGACCAAGGGAGATGGCAATCATAACCAATGTGCATGTGTACATTGAAATCCTGGATAATTTATTCTTTGATAGAAAATTTGTTTGGTGATGATCGTCATTTTTCAAGATGATAATACATCTTGTTACAAAGCAAAGGGAATTAAAAATTTTCTTTCAGAAAAGCATTAAAAAAAAAAAAAATCATCAATGACATGGTAACAGACATTTGCCTATAACTTGGGAACCCCTCATCTGTTTATGGTGATTAAGTGTTCGTTGGAAGTGTATAAGGTAGTGGAATACAGAAAAATCAATTTAAGAAAAATCCAAAATTTTGGGGGTCTGGGACCCAAAAACCCCAACTTAGGGATATTGGGCTGAAATCCTGAAAATACATTTGTAGGCATATCTTGATAAATAATAATGGTATGATGATGGTTGGGTGCTCATTGGAAGCGTATGAGGGAGTGGAATACCAAGACATCAATTTTATTGAAAATATTCAAAATTTTGGTAGTCTGAGACCAAAAAAAACCTCTAATTTGGGGATATTGGGTCAAAATCCTGAAAACTCATTTT